CTGACTTTTATGCCTAAGTGTTGTTAGTGTGGTTGTTTCCAACCTGATCACTTTTTCAAGGTAAAAACTTAGACAAGATATCAGTACTTAAATTTAGATATGATCTGGGCTTATATACATATGCAGTTAGTCTCTGTATAAATTTAATTTTTACCTTTATATGAATAACTTTTAGTCTAGAAAGCCCTCCTTAAGTTTAAGGAGGAGCAGAATGTTAAAAGAGTACTTGTATATATACAAGAGACTACTAATTGTATATAGAATATTGGTTTATGAGAGGAGAGTAAATGATTTGGAGTGAGGGACAGCAAATAAAATATTTCTGGGCTTATCTAGTGTAAGATGGAAGAGAGAACACTAACAGATGAGATGGCTGGGCATTTGCTTGTCTCCCTTGCTCAGAGCTGGGTGTAAATTTTTCTCATAAACTAACCTATGCATTTTAAATTTATGTTTTAACACTCTCTTGAATATAAAAATAATTGTGTAGAATAGGAAAGTTCTAATTTTACAGAATATAAAAGTTATGCCTGTCTGAATGCCTTGGTCCTGATGTTTGTTCTACGCTTTACGTCCATGTGCCAGTGTGACATTTCATCATCCCCTGTGCTCAGGCATGGGGAAAGCCTCATTGTGCTCTGATGTCCATGGGAAATCATGGATGGGAGGACTGTATTTATTCCAGTAGGATTGCCACCGTGGAAGACAATCAGGGCTGAGAACCTACCTCCAAGTATTGTCCATCTCCTTAGCACCAAGAAATAGCATTGGTCCTCAGACTGAAAAACATGGGCTTATCTGGCCTTACTGACCCCATTATTTTCCCCACTTTCCTTGCTGGAAATGTTCACTCCCAGACTTTGTGAGCTTTCCACATCCCAGGTGACAGAGAAGTAAAGCCCCAGTAGACATTGAGTGAAGCTGGAACAATGCTGACAAGCAGCATCCTTTCTGCTTGCTCATAACAACATAGTACAGTAATCCTGAGCAGAAAAGAATTACGGAGAGCAGACATGTATGTGTGTGCATTTGCAAATTATTGATCTACTGGAACATCATTTGTTCATCATGCTGCTTTCACTGACCTGAGAACACAAACGTGTTCTGGTACTGCACAGACCTTTGTGGAGAGAGGGCGTGCAATATGGTTGATGTGGGTACCGCACTGTGAACTTGGAAGCCGGTGTGTACGCCTTTTATGGAGAGTTGGGAAGTACAGAACTTGTGAATGGTCGTAGTGTTTAGTGGTTTATATTGTGTGTAGATTAGACATATATCTCTCTGTTGTTTATTGATTAAGCAATGTATGTTAGGAGGAAGTGTTTAATGTTGGATCTGTTTGTCAAGTTTCAGTGCGGTGATGGCTTAAGCCTTTTTGTGGAAAAGTAAAGGGGAGTAGCTCAACGTTCTTTATTGTTCTTTCTAAAAGTAGTATAGAATATCCATTGCATCTTCTGATTCTTGCGGAAAATAAACTGTTTGATGGACTGTTATTTAACAGTTCATTACTAACATAATTTTGCTTATGGTAAGAGTTTTGAGCTGGCTTTCTAAGGAAACAGTGCATATGACTGACTGACAGTGCAGTTGTGGTTCCCCTTATTGTCTCGCCTTCTTCCCGCTTGAATAATTTCTGAACTTACTGGTCAATGTCAATTGAATTTGTTAGAGTTCAAAAAATTGCTGAGATATCTAAGTTCCTACAGATACAAATATCAGTAGTTAATTAGAAAAAAATTACTGCTTTCCTGAATGGAATGGCACAGAGTTCAGTTTACCCTTTCTGTTGATTCCTGTGTAATTTTTGTTTAGTCCCACCATGTGTTCTTTCTTGTTGGGCATGTCGGGAGGAACAAGGAAGGCAGAGGAGTTAATGCTGTTGTGGAACCAGTAGAGATTGAGGTACGGGGAATGCAGATGTAGAACAACTTGTTACTATTTCAAAATAATGTTGCAAATTGAAATGTCAGTGCTTGTATTTCCATTACAATAATTTACAAATATATGATAAATTTATAATATAATGATTATGCCAGATGCTTTTTGGATAAGTAATACCTGGTCTCCATCCCAGAGATCTTCAACCCAAAAAATAGAATCATAGAACAGCCTGGGTCAGAATGGACCTCGAAAGACCATCTGGCCCAACATTTTGTGGGAGAGGGAGCCTAGATGAGACTGTCCAGCACCCTGTCCAATCACATATTGAAAACCTTCAAGGATGGGGACTCTACCACAACCCTGGGGAGGTTGTTCCAGTGACTGATTGTTCTCACTGTAAAAAATTTCTTTCTTATATTAAGATGAAACCTCTCATGGTACAACTTGTACCCATTGGCCCTTGTCTTCTCCATGTGGCTCCTTGTGAAGAGAAAGCCTCTGTCCTCTTTGTAGCTGCCCTCTAAATACTGGGCTGCTATGATGAGGTCCCCTCTAAGCCTTCTCTTCCCCAGGGAGAAAAGACCTAACTCCTTCTGTCCTCACTCACAGGGCAGGTTCTCCAGCTCTTTGATACTTAAACAAAAACCTACGAAGTCAATATTGGAATGCTGTGAAATTCCTGATCTCTTTTAACCTTCATTTTCATATATAACAAACTCTGAGTTGTTGGAATCAACTGTCCACAGTTGCAAAGTTTAATTCCTGCAGAGTTAGGGCCCCTGGTGTCACCTTGGGCATGTAAAATGAAACCTCTGGTTATGGAAGTTGGGTGTTACATTGGCAATAAACAGCAGACTGAAATTACTCTCTTACTGGAGCATGTTGATCTTTTTCTCCCTCTGTTTGCTTCCTACTGTATGTCTGTCTGCAGTCTATTTTATTTTGTTCGTCAGTCTCTCAAGTTTAAACATAGCTGTCTGCTCCTTTTCTCCATTTTACCCATCGCTATTTAATCTGCTTACCGCTAACTCTTTTTTTTGTTTTTTCTTTTCCTCCACAAGCTCTTTAGAATGGTTTTATGCTTTCTTTGGTACCCAGCACAGGGCTAGTCTTGAGACTTCCCACTGCCTCCCCTCTTTCTGATGTGTTCAAGGTAAAGGAGGAATAAACTACCAATTCCTTTGGAGTGGAGCAGTATCTTCCCTTAAGTGGCTAAACATTTTCAATCCATTTATGCACTCTTCTGTCCCAGTATTTACTATATTTAAGTTTTCTTAGCTTGCAAAAAAACCCCAAACCAAAACAACAAAACAATCACCACCACCACCACACCTCCCCAGCCCACCCTCTGGTTCTCCTTTGCAAGTCTCTTGTCCTCCCATTGCTGTCCCAAGTGCTTTTCCTGTCCTTCTGCATACTCTGGGAAATTGAAGGAGGAAGAGAATCTGTGCTCTGCTGGTCTCTCTCCTGTTACCTTTTTAACACTTGAGTGTAAAAACTGCCTGTGCTGTAAGACTCAATAGCACACGTGTGGAAGTTCAGTGAACTCTTCTTTCTTCCCCCCTCCCTCCCCCCCCACCAC